ACACTATTTTCAGTTTCCTTCTGAAAGGCGGTTAAACCCCTGTCTCATGTGGCTGACACCAGACAACTCTAACATTAGTTGGTTTCCAAAGACACTGCGTCATTCGAAGAGTCGCTTTGATTCTTGAATACCCGGCAAGTTATAATCGATCAGCTTGGATCGAAAGGATTTTTCTCCATCATAATTAAACTATGAATTTAATTCGGATCGTATCCTAATGAACCACAGCGTGTTGCGTTGATTTGATAACGAAAGAGAATCGCCTAATATGGACGTTCTTAGTTTAAATACTTTTGCATAACGTAACGGCCATTATGATATCATGTTACTTATTTTGAACGAACAGCTACCTCTCTTTGTCCCCCTTCTAAAAAGCTTTTTCGTTTTTTGTACATTCCATAGATTTAACAGTTCAACACAATTAGCGTAACACTATCAAACATCACGCTTGCTAGCGCCGCCAGTGGAACATGCGCCGTTAACTATCTTGGAGATTTGAGGGCTGATTTAAAACTCGGAGGCATATTTGAAACAATCTGGAATGAAGCTAAAAACGTATTTATCACTGACGTATAGTCAGTAGAACAGTATCTTCATTTTCTTTCTGAAAGAATTTTTACCCGTGTCTCAAGTGACTGATCTCACTCAACTCGAACAATAGTTGGTTTTTCAAAGACATGCTGCATCAGACGAAATTCTGCTTTTGTTCAAGAGTGACTCATTGTGAATCAGCTTAAAGACTGAAGGGAATTTTTTCCATAACACACACGGACAACGTTGATTGATTAAGCCGTATTAAATTAAGATTAAATTCGGATCGTACCTCAATGAACAACGATCCTGATGTCATGTGTTAATATGATGACAAACGAGAATCGCTACGTAAAGAAAGTTGCCAGCTTGAAATACGTTTGCGGCATAATGTCACGGGCATTCTTTTAAATCACAGATGATGTTTTGTCACTTTTTTAGAGCAAAATTTGCCTTGTTAAGTGTGTGTTTTATTTTCTGTACATTCTACAGATTTATCAGTTCAACACACTTATCACAACACTACCAAACATCACGCGAGCTAGAGTCGCCAAGTGCTGATACGCCGTCATTTACAGTAAGAATGTAAGAGCTGACTTAAAACAGGAGGCATATTTGAAACGAGCTTATTGTGAACCGCTTTCATTTACAAATTAAGAAATAAGATTCATATCATACTCCTTTCTTCATGAAATCAAAGGTAAGGTCTGACTTTGTGAATAATTATACCTTGTATGAAAGGAAGCGTGCATTACTCAAGCAGACATGCAGCATGCTACCCACTAATTCTACAAAATTATGAATGAGTGCTCATCGTTTCGCGGGTTACCTTCAAGAACTACTTTTGCCGCGTGTAAAGAACAGATAGTGCCAGGATGTCAAGAGAACAAAATAAGACAAACGTAGACATGATATGCTTCACATGAAAGAGATATGCGTTATTGACCATGCGTAAAGAAATACAGGACTCGTTATTCTTTATCCTTCTTCTTTTCTTCTTTTTTTTCCTGTTTCTAATTCTTGCGAAAATGAAGCATAAGGCCAATTTACAGCCATCTCTACTGAAAAACTTTGGTTAAAAAGTATTTATATTTTATGGCAAAAAGATTGCACTGGAAGAAGACAAGAAGCCTACACGTGATTTCTAAATTGTGTGTACCTGTGATATTGTTGTTACGAGGTAATATTCGTTTAAATTTCAAGATTCTTGTGATAAAGTTGGCACTACGAACGGAAAGAAATAGAGGAAAAGAATCCTTTGTTCAGGTTGGTCACCCGCGTATGTCTGCTTGGATTGCCCGCTTTGAACCCGGGAAAAGAAAAAAGCGATTGTAGCCGGTTTACATTTTCCATTTCTACTAAATTGTTCACTACTGTAAAAAAAAAGATAAAAAAGAATTTCCACAGCTTTGGATATTAAAAAGTCAGAAACGTGTCTAAAGAGAGATAACCAAGGACAACCATGTTAAGTTTCTTTCACTTTTGTAGCTACTTTTTTTGTTCACCATTTTAATTTCTTTTGCCATACAACAAATTTTGTATTGACCGGGCTTATTTAGCCAAGTGAAAAATGTTAGTTTCTCATTTCCCTTTTGAAATTGGTTTGATGGAAACTACAATCAAATCAATTGACAGTCGCCTCATGAAATGATAAGTATTTCACTTAGCATCAAGAACAGAGAAATTGAAATTTATACCCTGGTCAGATCAGACAAAGGAAATTGACTGGAATGACTCAACAAGGTAACAAAACAAAGCAGTACAGAGACAATTAATTTTGGACGCTCACGTATTCTTTACGCCAGAAGGTAAAGGGCAGCATCGCATGGCTTTTAGCAGGATTATGGGCGATCTGATTGGTTCGGCATAAAATTCGACAAAATACAAATCGGTACGCTACCACATCATTGTTTCGAGTATTTAAATTATTCTATCTGATCAGCTAAAATATCTGCTAGGTTTATCAGCGAATGTGCTGATCTTATTTGTGTGCCGATATGTGATATTTTCAATCAATCCATTAGCCAAGGGACGTTCCCAGACGACTGGAAATATGCAAGGATTACCCCTCTTTATAAACAGGGTGACCGCGGTGATGCTAACAATTACCGCCCAATATCGGTGATTCCAATAATGGCGAAGGTGTTTGAAAGGATAGTTTATGAACAGTTATATGCCTATTTGGAAGAGCACGATATTTTATGTCAAAACCAATCAGGGTTTCGTGCTAATCATTCAACTGTAACAGCTTTGTTGGAAGCGACAGATTCTTGGGCATATAATATTGATAACGAGAAAATCAATGGAGTCATTTTTCTAGATTTGAAAAAAGCTTTTGACACTGTTGATCATCAGATCCTTCTATCGAAACTAAACTATTATGGTATACATGGAAAATCTTTCAGATGGTTTCAGTCATATTTGGAAAACCGAACACAAAAATGCTCTGTCAACGGGTCGCTATCCAGTAGCTACTCGTTGACTTGCGGCGTCCCTCAAGGGACCATTCTCGGTCCATTATTGTTCTTATTATATATCAACGATCTTCCAAATTGCTTATCAAATTGTAAACCGAGAATGTATGCCGATGACACGCACCTCACATATGCGGGAAGCAATCTTGAGAACGTTCAGTTTTGTCTAAATGAAGACCTAGAAAACGTCTTCAACTGGCTACAAGCGAACAAACTCACGTTGAACATGACTAAAACCGAATTCATGCTAATAGGGTCGAGGCAGAGACTGAATACTCTCACAGCTTCACCAACAATTAGAATGAACAATACTCAAGTGAGCCAGGTTTCAGCTACAAAATCGCTTGGTGTAATAATAGACGATAAACTCGATTGGCATAGTCACATCGAAAAACTAACGAAAAAGATCGCCTCTGGTATCGGGGCCCTAAAGCGAATTAGGCACCTGATCCCAGCATCAACCTTACATCTCATCTACCAAGCTTTAGTAAAACCTCACTTTGATTACTGTGACATTGTTTGGGGTAGCTGTGGGAAAACGCTACGAGACAAACTGCAGAAATTGCAGAATAGAGCAGCCCGTGTGTTGACATTCTCTAACTATGATGCTGATGCAACTGAGCTACTCGAGTTTTTAGGGTGGAAAAATCTTGCACGCCAGCAGGAAATCCATAAAGCCACCATGATGTTTAGATGTCTGCACGGGCTAGCTCCAAGGTATCTATATTCAAAGTTTACGTGGCGTGACTCTGCTTATGACCTCAGGGACTCTGAAAATAAGCTTAATGTTCCACTACCGCGCACTAATTATTACAGAAAAAGCTTTAGCTACAATGGCGCCACATTATGGAACAGTTTACCACGCGATATAAGGAACACAGAGTCTCTGGGGTTATTTAAACGTAAGATCAATGACATTTTT